GATCGTCTGCAGGACGACCTGAGCGCCGCAAGGTCACCTAGGACTACAGACGGTATCGTATTACGCGCCTTACAACACCTCAGAGCGGAGAGTAGGATCCGTAGGAGAAGGTTAGTTCGGGGTAAGGACGAGTAGGAAAGCGGTGTAACAGAGAGCGCAGCATAGAATAGGGCTGCACGCCACTAGAGAGTGGGTTGGAAGCGCCTTGCTGGCTCGTACACACACACAGGTGGCTCGGTGGGTTAACAAGGGTTAATAAAATCTCGAGCGTAGTAACAAAACCGTGTTGTTGGGTGTTTTTGAACGTGGTATTAGCGTGCACTGCATTCGCGGGTGTGTGGTCGTTGTATGCGTAAAGGCCGTGGTCTCTGTACGATGGTGCGGGTATGGAGGTGTGTGTGTTAACGCCCGGGGAGAGCACTTTTGTGTGTTGGCGTGCCTACGCAGCCGTGTGAGAGGAGAGTCGTCCTTGCACGATACTTGTGTTGACGTGCACGCGCGAGTGCGGGAGGGGACGAGTCGTCGTGTCGGCGTGCACCCCGCTCGCGTGTGCGAAACCGCGGTGCGCAGTGAAGCTGTTAGCTTTGTGCGAGCTTGCGTGTGCTCGAGCGCGTAATCGGCTGCGCATTGTTGTACGGTTTATCTCGCGCGCACGGCGGCGGCAACTTGAGTCGTTGTGTCGGCGTGTGCCCCGCTTGCGTGTGCTCGTTACGTGCGTAAAGTGCGGCGCGGTGGTGAGTTCCTGACCCCCAGCCCCGCGGCTCGAGCGCGTAATCGGCTGCGCATTGTTGTACGGTTTATCTCGCGCGCACGGCGGCGGCAACTTGAGTCGTTGTGTCGGCGTGTGCCCCGCTTGCGTGTGCTCGTTACGTGCGTAAAGTGCGGCGCGGTGGTGAGTTCCTGACCCCCAGCCCCGCGGCTCGAGCGCGTAATCGGCTGCGCATTGTTGTACGGTTTATCTCGCGCGCACGGCCGCGGCAACTTGAGTCGTTGTGTCGGCGTGTGCCCCGCTTGCATGTGCTCGTTACGTGCGTAAAGTGCGGCGCGGTGGTGAGTTCCTGACCCCCAGCCCCGCGGCTCGAGCGCGTAATCGGCTGCGCATTGTTGTACGGTTTATCGCGCGCGCACGGCGGCGGCAACTTGAGTCGTTGTGTCGGCGTGTGCCCCGCTTGCGTGTGCTCGTTACGTGCGTAAAGTGCGGCGCGGTGGTGAGTTCCTGACCCCCAGCCCCGCGGCTCGAGCGCGTAATCGGCTGCGCATTGTTGTACGGTTTATCTCGCGCGCACGGCGGCGGCAACTTGAGTCGTTGTGTCGGCGTGTGCCCCGTTTTCGTGGCCTCGTGTGATCTCGTGTTATAAGTGTGAACGTGTGTAATACAGGTGCGCGATCCTAACGCGAGTGGTCAGTGTTGAGTGAGTGCAGTGCAGAGCTGTGTGTGGGAGTGCGCATACGTTCGTTACGTGTCGGATACGGATGCGCATTGGTAACGTGCCGCACAGGGCTATACTGCGAGTACGGCGTTTGATTGAGGATGATGTGCGCACGTATGCTCGCAGCGTGGGAGCGCGGCGCGAGGCTGTAATAGTAGGGGTGTCGCATTCGAATGCCGGCGAAACCGTAGCGGGTAATAGGGAGGTGGGGTAACGTAAACGGAATAGGGGATGCAGGCGGGAGGGACCCCGGGGGCCAACGGCCCCCACACGCGTCTGGCTCCCTCACGGCAGCAGTAGAGACAACGCGGCTCTCCCTCAGGCCAGCAGTGGAGAGCACGGGGGTCCCTCAGGGCAGCAGTGGACGGAGCACGGCTCTGCCTCACTCTCACTCACCCGTCTCCTCACTCTCACTCACCCGTCTCCTCACTCTCACTCACCCGTCTCCTCACTCTCACTCACCCATCTCCTCACTCTCACTCACCCGTCTCCTCACTCTCACTCACCCGTCTCCTCACTCTCATTCACCCATCTCCTCACTCCCACTCACCCTTCTCCTCACTCTCACTCACCCTTCTCCTCACTCCCACTCACCCTTCTCCTCACCCTCACTCACCCTTCTCCTCACTCTCACTCACCCGTCTCCTCACTCTCGCTCATCCGTCTCCTGACTCTCATTCACCCTTCTCCTCACTCTCACTCACCCTTCTCCTGACTCTCACTCACCCGTCTCTTCACTCTCACTCACCCGTCTCCTCACTCTCACTCACCCGGCTGCTTGCTCGCGGTCACGTGACGCACTTCAACCAATCCGTGCCGCGTTAATCACAGAATGAGAGTCACAGAATGACAGACCTGGGTGTTTATATATTAGTATGTATTCTCTGCACTTGAAAAATCCAGTTTCAAATATCTCTTTGATTTGGTGTTGAATTGCATTTATATTTTAAAAAATACAGCAGGCATGGAATGTGAATTAAGTTTATTGTCCTTCCCCGCACCTCCAACCAGCATGGTTAGCTACGTACGGTGCAAAAGAAGTTCAAGATACATACAAATACCTCATTCATCTGCCTCATCACTCTTTTGGTGGGTTTAAAGAATTAGAGCCACTTGTGCCAACAGGCAGATAGACATATATCATGATTCCAATACTTTTATTATAAAACCATTGTGGATCACATAACAAACACGAAAATACAGGAAATCTATTTCGAATATACACAGAGCGGCAATAATCTACTTTGCCTGAGATCGAAGGTCTTCTCTGATTTAAAAAAACAATCAGAAAAACAGTCAATATGTCGATGATTAAGAATAGGTTTTACCCTTTCTGGCAATAAAGCATGAGGTGTATTAAGGGGCCGTCCATAAATGACGTCACACACCTAGGGGGGGAGGGGGGTCAGACATTTGTGACGATGTGTGACGAGGGGGGGAGGGGGGGTTGAGAAATGTGACGTCACGTAAAAATGCGCAACTTTAAATAAATAGAAATAGAATTGTTATAACACCACGAATTTTGATAAATTTTCATTATTAACTATTTGATTATTGAAATTTACTAAGGTCACCTTTTATTTATTCCATGAAGGAGCATTTTGCTTCTCCATGGGAGAATGGAGAAGCATACATTTTGTATTTTTTTTGTAATGATTGTTATGAAACATTTCGATTTTAATTATTCTACCAGGGCTTTTCATTCTGTGGAATGAATATGTGATTGTTATAATTGTACTCTCCATTTTGCTTCGTTCTACTACAAAGTTTCAAGTATTTTTTCGAGTTATAATTACTGTTAATATTTTATAATTATAAGAAAATTTCAACATAATATTCTGAACATCTGTAGTTTTAGTTAGACATTGAATATTTTCAAGTGAATTTTATGCAAATTTTCATCTTTCCAACGCCTCCTTTTTAATACATGTTTTTTTCCGACAACATCAGAGTGCAGTGCCACATTAAAAATGCACTACAATGACAATAGTTGAAAGTTATTTGAAGCATGTTTTATTTTCAAAATGGAAACATGGTTTTGGGGGGGGGGGCAGAGCTTTGTGACGTCATATTTGAGGGAGGTCTGACTTTTTGTGACGCCGTGTGACGAGGGGGGGAGGGGGGTCAAAAATCGGCCAAAATCGCGTGACGTCATTTATGGACGGCCTATGTGTGTGTCTCTCTCTTTTTTTTCGGGTTCAAATGTGTTATTTATTTTTTCAGAGCACACAACGTGCGCGCAGACACACTATGGTAAAAATGGAAACGCAGCTTTTTAACCACAACAGCGCCGGCCACGTGCGGAGTCTTCAATGACACGGCACGGGGGTCCGGCGGGTTGCACAAGAGGGAGCCCCACGGCTACGGTATGCGCGAGAGGATGATGCCAGGTCGGTGTAGGGTGGACGTCGCTCATCGTCCGGGGTGGCCTTGTGATGACGGATGATGACCGTGGGGTCCTGGGTAGGCATGATGGACCAGGGCCCGTCTCCGCGGTCCCGCATCAAGCGACGAGCTTTGGCTTCGATAGCATAATGGTGGGACTTCTGCATCTCCTTGGCGATGAGGTGCATGTCCTTCCCGTAGGTCTTCTCCGGGGGATCCAGTATGTGCTTCGCGATCCACCGCGTGATGGGGCGCTTATGGTACTCGTAGTTTTCAGGGATGTAACCCTCTGGGATCTCGGGCAGCTCACCAACAAACACATTGATGTACGTTATGATGATAGCAACGGGCACACCAGTCAGGGCTGAGTAAAATATCGTGAGATTTAGAAATCTGTTGTCTAAGTATTTCGTGGGCTCGATGTAAAACAACCGCTTGTTGCTGCTGCTGTAGCGCACGTGGCCAGCCGGTACGCGGCCGAGTAGCCACCTCAGAGGCGAGGTGGCGGAAGCCACTGACGAGGAGGAGGAGGCGGAGGAGGTGGCGGCGGAGAAGAGAGACGAGGAGGCGCCGCGCAGGGCGGCCCGCAACACACTCAGCGCCGCCATCGCGACCTTCCTCCTGCCTCTTTGTGTCTGTGTTATCTCTCTCTGCTTGTGTCTGTCTTTGTGTCTGCGTGTCTGTGTTTTGTCTCTAAAATGTATCAATCTTTGGAAGAACGTAATCAACCAGGTAGGGGGTTGACTTTTATGTTAGCCGACTCTCTGTGTTGTATTGCATTATATTTATAAGTTTACTAGGTTTGTCTTCTCTTTCATTTGTACCTGATGATGAGTGCTTGTTGCAATCGAAACAACGTATACAATTATTTACTTTATTTTTTCTTTATACGTGACTTTACCAAAATAACCAAAGAGTGGCCCCTAAGATGTTCAAAGACCAAAATAAATACCTTTTGCAAGGCATCAAGTCTGCATTAACCTACACATCCTCGTGAGAACACATGCAAGTGAATATGCTCTGATATATCCATGTAAAATCAAATGTATTATTTTCCCCAAGTATGCAATCTACAAGAGGGCATAGTTTATTGTACTGCTTTCCTTGAATAACTGCACAGCAAAAAAAAAATCTTATCACAATATCCATTACTGATCTGCTGCTTGCAAAAAATCGCATTGCCTCTACGAACTACACTACAACAACTGGCAACCAGGGATGCGGCTCCAGCTGTTGTTTTAAAATGTAACGTCTCAGGCATTTGCAGTGTGTTAAGAAGGCCTGGACCGTCTCGCCGGACAATACGCAGTAGCAGAGTATCTCCTGCAAACACACACACTGTTTTGCGATGGTCATCAAAGCATCGTTTAGCTCCTCAGATTTGGTCGTGTGAATCTCCAACTTTGTCAGAGTCTTGGCAAAGTTCAGGGCAGTGAATTCCAACTGCTCCACGAGGTACGTGAACGTTTTGAAGCGCAGAGTGCTCACCGGGATCTCGGGCTTCAGGATTTCATTCATCCTGCTCACGGGGACCGTGTGATCAAACTCAACGGCGACTCGCATGGCGACGTACCGCTCTGACAGTCTCTTCCACATGCCGCCCGGGATGTCGTATGTGTACTTGTCTATCCTCTGGCAGAGTATCTCTAGCATGTCCAAGGGCTTCCTGTCACCTTCCAAAAAAGCATCGAGCACCTCTGAGGAGAGACTTGCGTGAAACACACCGAGGCAGCTGAGCTGCCTGCAGCACTTCACTACTCGGAGCAGGCACTCGGGCGAGACCAGGCACACCAAGCTGCCATTGTTGAGGTAGAGGCTGTGCAACGCGCGATTGCGATCCGCCAGTGAGCAAACGATGTCCGCGTCAAGTGTTAAGGGCAGCCTCCGAAGATCAATCTGACGGAATCCGTGCAAGGCGTCCGTGCTCCTCGCGGCACTGAACAGCCTCTTCAAACTTTGGAGAAAGTCTTGACCCGAATAAAAATATGGATTTTCCCCAATGAACTGAATCTCCAGATCGGCTAGATTCATTGACCCGTTTGCCAAGTGGTCCATGACTCTGCATGCATTGTTTCGGTTGGTTAAAACAGTCTGGTTGCAAACAAGTTTGAGAGACTTGATCAAACTCCCAAATTTCTGTAACACTTGCATTTTTTGGTCTTCTTCTTGTGTGTCATTGACAAAGCTGTGGAGAAAGAAAACAATTACCTCCCATATACTATTGTTCATAATAATACTGAGCTCTCATTCCTCTTCAGCCCAACAGTTATGTGTGGAGCCCCCCTAAGGGTCGGTATTATAATAATGCACATTTTGTAATGCGGATTTCAGTTCAAGGATCCCAATGCGCCGTAAATGGAAAGCAAGAAAATAAGACTGAGCCAGCGGTGAAACTACTAAAACTCAGGTGGGGGAAGGCGATTTTAGAGAGGTGAGTTTTCAGGGCAAGATTTAAATAGCTCTAAATATTCTGATTGCCTTATTGTCTAGAGGACAACGCATTCCAAAGTTTTGGAGCTGCACTAGCATAAGCTTGAATAACCCCCATGAACAGAGCCTTGATCTCGGAATACTAAGAAAATGAAGGAGATAAGAAGATCTCAAGAACCTCATTGGTGGTTTATATACGTGGATCAGTTTCTTATCTTAAATTAATGGATATAGCGCCTTAATCAAGATGCTTTAAAAAAAATAACAGTACAACGTGTGTGAATTTAATGGTGGACATGAGGTGAATGAAATAGATGAGAGAAAAAAATGGAGGCAAATCTGTGATGATGCGTGATTTCGGTGAAAGCTAATTTGATGACAGTGAATTATGATAAATGAATTGAATGAATGGGGAATGTGTGACAGACATATAATGAGAACATTAAGAGAGAAAAGTAACGGCGGTGGTTATGAGTGAGAGATTAAGGGGTCGTGGGGTGAGCTAGGGAACAGTAAGTGAGTTTTTAGTGAGCAGCGGAAAACTAGTGAGCGAATGTGACTGCTTCATGTGGAGGGGAAGTTTGTTCCTGGAAGTAATGTGGGGCTGACCCATTGACGGCCTTGTAGGTCAATAGCAGGGCCTTATAATCAATTGGATATTTGATTGGTAGCCAATTCGAGGACAAGAGAACGGGTGTGATGTGCTCACGAAATGGTGCTTCACGTAAAGCAATCTAGCAGCAGCATTCAAAAACGAGCTGAAGTCTATCACCTCTACTGTGCAATTATTTACATTCATCTACTGGGACATCTGATCAGATCACATGGTCTTTCTCTTCACCAGTATGATGACACTCAGATATACCTTGAGATCCGGGACACGCAAGACTTTACCACCCTATCTGCTTGTCTATCAGATAACGACTGATGGATGTCTGACAACTGGAAACTCAATCCGGACAAAACCAAATATTTACTGCTTGGGCTGCAGACTAAGCCAGTTGACCTGTGGCTCATGGCAGCGCCATTAACTGTCAATGGAATGGCACTCTGACTCATAAATAGGACTAAGAGTCTTGTCCTGGTGTTGAATAATTCACTGTTGTTTCTGCCCCAGAGAAAACGAGAAGTCAAAAAGTCCTGTATGTTTCACCTAAGAACAATAAAAAGATCAAACCATTCCTCTCTGACAGAGATTGTGCTATACTGTCCTAAATGCCCTTGTAACATCACGTTTCCATGATGGAAATGCCCTGCTCCCTGTATGTGGGTGTTTCACGGTGTCCAGTTGGACTACTCCAGGGCATTCAGAATGCCTCTGTGTGACCTTTTTGACTGACCGGTGATTCTTGTCGGTACCCAATCTGCCATAATTTGCTGAATCTATACCACTGGCTTCTAATTGAGCTCCGTTGTGCATGATTCAAACTAACACGTAGTAAGTTTTCGCGACCAATATTATCCATAAGAGATTATTTTGGTTCGATCACGTAAATATGTGTCATTAAACCCGCCACCACCTGACACAGCCAATTAGTAAGATTTGTCACGTAAACAAAACATGCCAATTAGTTACTAGTTCAGAACACCGGTGTGCTGGAGAGTAAATCCACAACATTTGTAATTCGAGTACCGTGACGTTTTGCCGGTAATCACAACTCAGCCTCATCAGGCGACAGTCAGAGTTGTGGAGAAATACTCCTCCTGTTTCGGTCTTAATGGAGGGATACATGTGATGTCGTCACTTGTGAGCCAAAACTGAAACAGGAGGAGGATTTCTCCACAACTCTGGCTGTCGCCTGATGAGGCTGAGTTGTAATTACTGAAAAAAGGTCACGGTACACGAACTGTAAATGTTGTAGTGGGTTTACTCTCCAACACACTGGTTCGCGCTGAACTAGATACGAATTGGCACATTTTGTTTACTTGACAAACCTTCCTCATTTGCTGTCGGGTGGTGGTGGTTTTAATGACTTATTAATATTTACGCCTTATAACCCTAAAAAACCTCAATTGCGGGTGATTAAAATTACTGTGCTTAATTCACAAGTTTAACACGGAGGCTTTCGCGACCAATATCATCCATAATAGAGGAGAAGCAATGGGCTCTCCTTTGTCTCCTGTGATAGCGAATTTGTACATGGAAGATTTTGAAACAAAAGCAATAGCTTCAAGCACACTCAAACCCTCTGCTTGGTTTAGATATGTGGATGACACATGGTGGTCTGGCCACACAGCAAAGATACACTTAACGAATATCTAAATCATCTCAACTCACAAAACCCATCCATCCAGTTCACCATGGAAGTGGAAGCTGACAGAACTCTACCATTTATGGATATTCTACTCAGACAGGGTGGAAATGGTAAAATAACACACGGCGTCTATCGAAAGAAAATGCACACTGACGCCTGTCTGAATGCACATCAACGCCTCTATATAAGGAACGAAACAGGTGGACTTCTCCACAAATCTGGCTGTCACCTGATGAAGCTAGTTGTAATTCCTGACGAATTGGCATGTTTTGTTTATGTGACAACCCTTACTAGTTGGCTGTATCGGGTGGTGGCGGGTTTAATGACACATTTATATATTTAAGCGATCTAACCCAAAAAACTCTATTATGGCTTAATTCACAAAGCACTCTTTCAGCAATTGGCTAAAATATTTGACCAATAAACTTCAGCTTAAAATCCTTCTAGGACTTTGAGATCCTCACACACACACACGTGCAATCATGCTCCACTATCAGCCATGATTCTTGGCAAAAAAAACTTTTCAGAGCATAGGCTCTGTTATCCTTGGTTAAGTTCAAGGATATACATCACACAGCAAATTATTCTATACACATTTAACCACAGGTAAACTTTGCAGATAATATTATTAATCTTGTCTTATGTAGATTTATATAGCACCTTAGTCCAATGCACTTTACAATAATAATACAAACTGTACATCAGATGATAGTGGTTAAAATAAAGAGCGGAGTTATTAAAATGGGCGGTGTAGTTATGGTGACAGGAGGTCAAGTGGGAATGGTTAAGGAGGGGTTGGGGTCGTGATAGGGGTTGGGTAGTGATAGGGTTGGGGTTAGAGTATTGTTGGGGTAGTGACTAGGGGTCGGAGTAGTAATAGGGTTGGGGTTAGAATAGTGTTGGGGTAGTGACAGGGGTCGGGGTAGTGATAGGGTTGGACTAGTGATAGGGATTGGGTAGTGACAGGGGTCGGGGTAGTGATAGGGTTGGGCTAGTGATAGGGATTGGGTAGTGACAGGGGTCGGGGTAGTGATAGGGTTGAGCTAGTGATAAGGATTGGGTAGTGATAGGGGTTGGGGAAGTAATAGGGATTGGGGAAGCGATAGGGGTTGGGGTAGTGATAGGGGTAGTGATAGGGGTTAAGTAGTGATAGGGTTTAGGGTAGTGATAGGGTTGGGGTTAGGGTAGTGATGGTGGAGGGGTAGTGACAGGGGTAGGGGTAGTGATAGGGGTTGGGGTCATGATAGGGGTAGTGATAGGGGTTGGGTAGTGATAGGGGTAATGGTGGTGGTAGGGGTTGGGGTAGTGAGTAGCAGTAGCTATAGGGTGGGCTAGGGGAGAAGAGATAGGGGTTGTTTTAAGGGAAGAATGGAAGCTGGAGCTTGATGTTGTAATGAAGATTGTTGCTCTGTCTGCTGCAGTAGGAGTTGGTTCAGTGAAGGGGAGCGAGACGGAAGAAGCAAGAGAGTGAGACTGGGCGCAGGGTAGAGGGAGGCACAGAGAGGGAAGGTCGAGACTTAGGAGCGTCAAGGTTGGGATGGGACAGAGTAGCGAGAGGATGAGAGGTGGGGCAAAACCACAGCGGGTTTTATGGACCCATAGTGAGAAATGTAAACAGACAGCTATCATGGACAGTGAGCCAACGGAGTTGGAAAAATAGAGCAGTAGTGTAGGAATTATGGTTAAAGATGATCTGTGCATAGCATCCCGCCGAAACATCAACACAGTTAGGATAGGTTTTACTTTACTCACATACATATAAACATGCATAGCAGACTCTCGATTATCCGCGTGTGGTTTATCCCTTAAGCTCAAAAGAATAATCTAATAACTGTTATATATTATGCTTGGAAATGTGTATTACAAGTCACGTGCTTAAACCTAACAAATGTTTCTCCGGTTAATCCAAAATCCACGTGATTGCCTCTACAGTACAGTAGTTGCATATTTTTACAACAGTGGGCGGAGTTTGATTGATGTTGATTGGCATGGCTCTGCTGTCCACTTAGTGGGCCGAGTCTTCTGCTGGGCGGGAGCAGGCAAGTGTATCACTGAGCACGTGCATCGATCAGTCGATCGTTAGTATTCGTTCTCAAATGAAAGAGCAACGTTGTGCTTTATTTTGAGTGACTTATCCGGTCATTTATTTTTGTGAGTTTTAATTTACAAAACTGTGCGACTTAAACATAATGTATACCTATATTAGTGTTTTTTTAGCAGAGATCCATGGAAAATGGATATTTTTGGATTATCCGCAATTTTGAATTATCTGCGGCTGCCCTCCCCATCATCAGCGCGGAAAATCGAGTCTACTGTACTCGTCCACAAACACGCAGGTGGATAATAAATTTGTGAGGAGAGTAGCAATTTCTACCTGACTGTGACTTTCTTCCAAAGTTGTGTTGAAGTGAAAATATGGGCCCATTGTTTACAGACTAACGATGCAGAAAGTCTGTCTTCCAATGAGAGGAAGATGAAAATGTAGAGTAGGATATCACTCGGGAGCTCCATGCTTTGCTACCTGCAATGCACAACAAACATGGTTGCAAAATGTTAGAACTTGTTGAGGCAAAGAAATGCATTTTCACGAAAGTGCATTCTCTTTTAAGGGGCCATGCACATTTCACAACCTACACGCAACAATGCGGGACGAGGTGCACACACACAGCGTGTTCGTGCGTCTCTGTGGGCCCGTGGGTGACTGTGGGTGTCTGTTCATCAGTGGGTCTCTGTGTGAGTTAGTGGGTCTCTGTGCGAGTTAGTGGGTCTTTGTGGGAGTCAGTGGGTCTCTGTGGGCGTCAGTGGGTCTCTATGTTAGTCATTGGGTCTGTGTTATTCAGGAGGTCTCTGTGTTAGTCAGTGGGTTTCTGTGTGAGTCAGTGGGTTTCTGTGTGAGTCAGTGGGTCTCTGTGTTAGTTAGTGGGTCTCTGTTTGTAAGTGGGTTTCTGTGTTACTCAGTGGGTCTCTGTCTTAGTCAGTGGGTCTCTGTGGGAGTCATCAGTGGGTCTATGTGTTACAACAGGGGGTCTCTGTGTGAGTTAGTGGGTCTCTGTGCGAGTCAGTGGGTCTCTGCGAGCCCGTGGGTATGCTAATCAGTGGGTCTTTGTGGGAGTCAGTGGGTCTCTGTGATTGTCAGTGGGTCTCTGTGCGAGTCAGTGGGTCTCTGTGTTACTCAGTGGGTCTCTGTGTTAGTAGGTATTTGTGTTTGTCAGGGGGTATCTGTCTTAGTCGGTGGGTCTCTGTGTGAGTCAGTAGGTCTCTGTGTTAGTTAGTGGGTTTCTGTGTTAGTCGGTGGGTCTCTGTGTGAGTCAGTGGGTTTCTATGAGTCTGTGGGTCTCTGAGTTAGTGGGTTTATGTGTGAGTCAGTGGGTCTCTATGAGCACGTGGGTATCTGTGTTAGTCAGTGGGTCTGTGTGAGTCAGTGGGTCTCTCTATCAGTGGGTGTCTGTGTTACTCAGTGGGTCTCTGTTAGTGGGTCTCTGTGTTTGTAAGTGGGTCTCTATGTTAGTCAGTGGGTCTCTGTGCGAGTTAGTGGGTCTCTGTGCGAGTCAGTGGGTTTCTGTGCGAGTCAGTGGGTCTGTGTGTTAGTCAGTGGGTCTCTGTGTTAGTCCGCGGGTCTCTGTGTTAGTCCGCGGGTCTCTGTGTTAGTCAGCGGGTCTCTGACTCTCCGTGTTACTCAGTGGGTCTCTGTCTTAGTCAGTGGGTCTCTGTGTTATTCAGGAGGTCTCTGTCTTAGGCAGTGGGTCTCTGTGTTATTCAGGTCTCTGTGTTTGTCAGTGGGTCTCTGTGTTAGTAATTGGGTCTCTGTGTTAGTAATTGGGTCTCTCTGTAAGTCAGTGGGTCTCTGTTAGTAATTGGGTCTCTCTGTCAGTGGGTGTCTGTGTTACTCAGTGGGTATCTGTTAGTGAGTCTCTGTGTTTGTAAGTGGGTCTCTATGTTAGTCAGTGCGTCTCTGTGCGAATCAGTGGGTCTCTGTGCGAGTCAGTGGGTCTCTGTGTTTGTCAGTGGTTTCTGTGTTAGTCAGTGGGTCTCTGGGTTAGTCTGTGGGCCTGTGTGCGAGTCAGTGGGTCTCTGCGTTAGTCAGTGGGTCTCTGTGCCAGTCAGTGAGTTTCTGTGTTAGTCAGTGGGTATCTGTGTTAGTCAGTGGGTCTCTGTGTTACAACAGGGGGTCTCTGTGTGAGTTAGTGGGTCTCTGTGCGAGTCAGTGGGTCTCTGCGTGCCCGTGGGTATGTTAATCAGTGGGTCTTTGTGGGAGTCAGTGGATCTCTGTGATTGTCAGTGGGTCTCTGTGCGAGTCAGTGGGTCTCTGTGTTACTCAGTGGGTCTCTGTGTTAGTAGGTATTTGTGTTTGTCAGTGGGTCTGTGTGAGTCAGTGGGTCTCTCTGTCAGTGGGTGTCTGTGTTACTCAGTGGGTCTCTGTTAGTGGGTCTCTGTGTTTGTAAGTGGGTCTCTATGTTAGTCAGTGGGTCTCTATGCGAGTCAGTGGGTCCCTGTGCGAGTCAGTGGGTTTCTGTGCGAGTCAGTGGGTCTGTGTGTTAGTCAGTGGGTCTCTGTGCGAGTCAGTGGATCGCTGTGTTAGTCAGTGGGTCTCTGGGTTAGTCTGTGGGCCTGTGTGCGAGTCAGTGGGTTTCTGTGTTAGTCAGTGGGTCTCTGTGTTAGTCCGCGGGTCTCTGTGTTAGTCAGCGGGTCTCTGTGTGAGTTAGTGGGTCTCTGTGCGAGTCAGTGGGTCTCTGCGAGCCCGTGGGTGTCTTTTTATCAGTGGGTCTCTGTGTTTGTCAGTGGGTCTCTGTGTAAGTGGGTATCTGTGTTTGTCAGTGGGTCTCTGACTCTCTGTTACTCAGTGGGTCTGTCTTAGTCAGTGGGTCTCTGTGTTATTCAGGTCTCTGTGTTTGTCAATGAGTCTCTGTGTTAGTAATTGGGTCTCTGTGTTAGTAATTGGGTCTCTCTCTGAGTCAGTGGGTCTCTGTGTTAGTAATTGGGTCTCTGTGTTAGTAGTTGGGTATCTCTGAGTCAGTGGGTCTCTCTGTCAGTGGGTGTCTGTGTTACTCAGTGGGTCTCTGTTAGTGGGTCTCTGTGTTTGTAAGTGGGTCTCTATGTTAGTCAGTGGGTCTCTGTGCCAGTCAGTGGGTCTTGTGCGAGTCAGTGGGTCTGTGTTTGTCAGTGGTTTCTGTGTTAGTCCGCGGGTCTCTGTGTTAGTCCGCGGGTCTCTGTGTTAGTGGGTCTCTGTGCGAGTCAGTGGGTCTCTGTGTTAGTGGGTCTCTGTGTTTGTCAGTGGGTCTCTGTCTTAGGCAGTGGGTCTCTGTGTTATTCAGGTCTCTGTGTTTGTCAGTGGGTCTCTGTGTTAGTAATTGGGTCTCTGTGTTAGTAATTGGGTCTCTCTGTGAGTCAGTGGGTCTCTGTGTGAGTCAGCGGGTCTGTGTTTGTCAGTGGGTCTCTGACTGTGTTACTCAGTGGGTATCTGCCTTAGTCAGTGGGTCTCTGTGTTATTCAGGAGGTCTGTCTTAGGCAGTGCGTGTATGTGTTATTAATGTCTCTGTGTTTGTCAGTGGGTCTCTGTGCTAGTAATTGGGTCTCTCTGTGAGTCAAGTGGGTCTTTGTGTTAGTAATTGGGTCTCTCTGTGAGTCAAGTGGGTCTCTGTGTTAGTAATTGGGTATCTGTGTTAGTAATTGGGTCTCTGTGTTTGTCAGTGGGTCTCTGCGAGTCTTGGGTCTTTATATCTCATCGGATTCCTCCGGTATAAACATTCTGATTCTCTGCACTGAACTATCGACAACTCCAGAGTGCTGCTGTTGGACCAGTGCATAGCGGCAGCAGCTCCTGGGGGTGCTTTTACCGGTCAGAAAACCACCAAAATGTGACGTCCGTGGCGAGACGATCACTGTTAGTCTCGAAAGCTCCCCGCGTGAAAACTCGCCTCGCTCCGGCCTTCAACCTGCAGCTTCTGTTCATACCCTGGCGCATCTGGCGGCATCTATGCGTGACACGCGCGAACTTTACAAATGTTTAATGATAACCGTCATTGTTGCTTATTGTCTTACCGGTAAGGCACACCACAAAAAAAACAATTTAAATATGAACTAAACGTACAGTCACGCAATGTTACTGCAATCATAAACCTTTGAACTGACACCGTCCGCCGAGCCCGCCCCTAGGTGACGTCACTTCCGACACGCCCCCGCACGCTCTTCCGGTCTCTTTGCGAGCTTCGCCCCGTGGAGCGATGGAGCAGCACTGCGAGGCTCTCGCCGGTCCCTCGCTCTCTCCTCGTCATCCGCGTCCATCCCGCGAGTCCTCGTGCCGGGCGGCAGCCGGCTGGGGCGGGAAGGCGGCAGGATGGGGTTGCGGGTGCGTGGGGAGGCCGATGGCGAGCCAGGCGAGTTCGACGCGATGGCGCGATGATTTTTCCCCCTCGTCGGCGTGGTGTCGATGGGTTCGGCCATTGAGACCTTAACCCTGTCAGCGTAGACGTTCTCTCTCTGCTGAGGTTTTAAATGGATCTTAACTAAAGATGAACGTGTTTAACACCCGATACAATTGATTAATCATGTTTGGTTACTAAGTTATATTTTTGCTGGTTTCTCTGTCCGCGTGCTCGCGAGAATTTTTCTCCGAACCCTCCGCTTTCCCCCCCCCTCTACATTCACAATCACGCGTTTAAGAGTATTTGGCTCCTGATATAAACCTCCGTCTGATAATAATAAGCCACTTTCGTTGAGCTTGTCGTTTGCGATAGCCAGGTCGCTTCCGATAAAAGAGTTGCATGGTTCAGTGGGGCCTCATCTGGTAAGATAGAAACATTTTGTTTAAAATGTCAATCAGAAGCAATACGACTTAGTGATGTAACTCACCGTTACCAGAACCCACCCAACGCTACGTCTGTTTCGTGTTGGTCATTGCAGGAATTAGCCGCTTTGTGCCACCACGTGTCACCCAGTTCCCACGTTTGAAAGACAGCTCGAGTGAAAGTAAATTAATTATTTTCTTTTGAACTTATTTGCTGTCACATTCTTACTCGAAAAATATATAATGATTATACGCTAAATTACCTCTTAATATGTGAACAGACAGGTTATGTGTGCGGTGCTGTTGAAGTATTGCATCACTGGTTTGTGCTTTACTGGCAAACTACACAGATTATGGCTGTAAAAAAGCCTGAGACACTCATTTTTTTTAAGTTTGTGATCCTACCCTGGGGCTCGGCTTTGAATGCATTGCTAGGCCACCGCGTCCCTTCAGTGTGTGTCACCCGCAGTCTGCTGGACATCATCACCTCGTCTTCATGCACTTTGTGTCCTCTGCTATCGCAGATGTGTTTCTGTTTTTAATCTGTTGGTGCACCGTTTTGGCTCTTGTTACAGCGAGATGATTGGCTGTGAAGCACAATGGGTCGTGATTACCAATCTCATGCCTTTCTGAGATCACTTTGCTGAAAATCAGAGGCTGTTTCTGAACCCATTACAAATTCTCCTTTTGCTAACGTTGCTTTTATAATACCGGTGTGCTGTACTCGTGACGAATTGGCATGTTCTGTTATGTGACAACCCTTACTAGTTGGGTGGTGGCAGGTTTAACACATTTACGTGATCTAACCCAAAAAAACTATTATGGATGATATTTGTCGCGAAAGCCGTGTTAATCTGTCGTTGCTTTTGTGGCGTGTTGCCATGCAGTGTTGCTATTTACAGGCCTGCTTTGCTGAAGTTGTGAGATCACTGGGTGATGCTGGTTGTCATGTTGACTCAACACTTACAGGTCCTGATGGTTGCCTGCTGCTTCTGATGCGAAGTCTGCAGAGCTGGGTGGACGGGACTGGGTCGAGGTTCGTCTTCATCCAGTAAGTGGCATTCACCACACCGTCAAAGTTGGGCAGTGGTTAGCGTGCTTCACTCCAAACCCAGCGTCCCGAGTTCAATTTCCGCTCATGGCCACCAACACCCGTTACGATTATCTGAACTGGTCCTGGGCTTCCTGTAGGTCGACTCGGCCTCAATTGAGACTTAAACTATTTATCAGGTAAGGCACACTGAGCTATCTTGCTCTTTCTTAGAAGTGACCTGGCCACAAATTATGGCTCAATAGTGGCTTATCACGTTGACATTTCTAGCAGGTCAAATATTCTTAAGCACACGTTTCTAAATATGAAGGGAAAAACTGGAGACACCGGAGAAAAATCCACATGACCACACGGAGGACATGCAAACTCAAAATAAACAACAGTCAGGGTCGGGATCGAACCCACTATCTCCTCTATACAAGGCGGGGTAGTTAACATCTCCTAGCCACCATGGTGCCCATAGCAATAGCGATAGAAGAGGGTTAAGGAAGCAACTGACCGCTTTTGAGGGAGTGACTTATATTTTACTAAATGCAACATTTTAAAGTTATTGGCACCTGGATACGGTAACCATCACAAGGCACAACTTGTTACCTCATGTGCAGTGGGTTATGATTACCAATCTCATGCCTTTCTGAGAACACTTTGCTGAAAATCAGAGGCTGTTTCTGAACCCATTACTAGTTCTGATTCTGCTAACGTTTATGTGGCATGGTGCCATGCAGTGTTGCTCATTACAGCTCTGCTCTGCTGGAGTTGTGATATCACTGGGTGATGCTGTTTGTCATGTTGACTCAACACTTCCAGGTCCTAATGGCTGGCAGCTGCTTCTGATGCTAAATCTACTGAGCTGCGTGGATGGGAATGGGTCGAGGTTCATCTTCAGTAAGTGGCATTCACCACACGCTCAAAGCTGCAAATTTATGGTCGCGATTGTGCACATTTAGACCCAGGGAACACCAGCCAACAACTCTAGCTCGTCTGAATGCGATTTGGCTCTGAGGCTGACTTCCTCAATCATTGTGTTGAACTTGGTTCTAAGAGGGTGAATCGGAAGTGAGGCCTCTATCATTGGCGGCAGTTGCAGAAGTAGGCGATTGTGTGGCATCGCTGTCAATGTGGGAGAGCGGTGGGCACATCGGTTAGCACGCCGCCCTAATAACCCAGCGACATGAGTACAATGCTCATGGCCATCAACACCAGTGACGATTATCTGAACCGGTCTCGTCCTCAGTTGAGTACCTTGTACAGTGTGTAAACATTGCCCCTCGGGAGACAAAGGTGGCATGGTGCTGGCCACCCACCTTCTCACATGTTGGCTCTCGTAGGTGCTCGCTCACAGCACTTTCCCCAACGGTCTCTTGAGGCTATATAGGAAGTCTTTGTCTAAATACAACGTTTTGAAGATATTCCCAACCGAATACATTACTTTTTTAAGGAGGGTTAATGAGAACACTTGCTGAGCACAGTCCCAAAAGTATAAAATGTCAAGTGACTGACAAGGGCAGCATCAGAGTTTAAATCGGAGGTGCACTTACGATTAGCACGGTTGGCTGCGTACAGTTTCAAAGAAGTTCAACATACATTGTAATCGATACTGGTCACCATCTTGAAGTGAGCAAGGTTTTACGCTCTTGGGAAAGGAGACAGGAGGGTATTCCAAAGTTAAGCGGAGCGAGGGAAGCAGTAGAAAAAGGCATTGTGGTTGATGGTCTCAATATGATGAGACAACGCAGCCTGGTTGACAGTGCTCAACATGGGTAGAAGTAATGAACGCGTGAAGTTAACGGACCACTAACCATGGCAGTAGCGATAGAAGAGTGATAAGGAAGCAACTGACTTGCTAGTCAGTGAGTGGCTTAGAAATTACGAAATGCAACATTTTATATTGTGGCCAGGCACTAGTTTCCTGAAGCACAGTGGGTTATGATTACCAATCTCATGCCTTTCTGAGATCACTTTGCTGAAAATCAGAGGCTGTTTCTGAACCCATTACAAGTTCTGATTCTGCTAATATCGTTGTTCATATGGCATCATGACATGAAGTGTTGCTTATTACAGCCCTGCTCTGCTGGAGTTGTGATATCACTGGGTGACGATGGTTGTCATGTTGACTCAACACTTCCAGGGCCTGAAGATTGCCAGCTTTTCCTGACGCTAAATCTGCAGAGCTGTGTGGACTGGCCTGGGTCGAGGTTCGTCTTCGTCCAGTAAGTGGCATTCCCCACACGCTCAGCTGTAAACCTGTGGTAGCGATTGTGCACATTTAGACCCAGGCAACAACTCTGGTGTGATGTCTGAATGCGACTTGGTTGTGAGGCTGTGTTCCTCAATTATTGTCTATGCTGAACTTGGTTCCAAGAGGGTGGATAGGAAATGAGGCCTCTTTTAATGGCGACAGTTCCAGAAGGAGGCGATTGTGTGGCATCGCTGTCGATGTGGGTGAGCGGCGGCGCAGCAGTTAGCATGCCGCTCTAAGAACCCAGCTACCCGAGTACAATTCCTGCTCACGGCCCTCAATACCGGTGAAGATTATTTGTACTGGTCTTGGGCAACCCGCAGGTTGACTCGCCCGGAATTGAGACTTAAACTCTAAACTGTTTTAATTTTATCAGGTAAGGCACGCTGAGCTATATAGTTCTTTCTTAGAAGTGACCTGACCACAAATGAAAGCTCAATAGTGGCTTATCACGTTGACATTTCTAGCAGTCAAATACTCTTAAACGCACGTTTCTAAATGTGAAGGGAAAAACTGGAAACCCCGGAGAAAAATCCACATGACCGCACGAAGGACATGCAAACTCCAAATATACAACAGTCAAGGTCGGGATCGAACCCACTATCTCCTCGAAACAAGGCGGGGTAGTTAACATCTCCTAGCCACCATGGTGTCCATAGCAATAGCGATAGAAGAGGGTTAAGGAAGTAACTGACCGCTGGTGAGGGAGTGACTTATATCTTACTAAATGCAACATTTTAAAGATATTGGCACCTGGATAACAGTAACCATTACAAGGCACAACTTGTTACTTGATGTGCAGTGGGTTATGATTACCAATCTCATGCCTTTCTGAGAACACTTTGCTGAAAATCAGAGGCTGTTTCTGAACCCATTATAAGTTCTGATTATGCTAATGTCGTTGTTCACGTGGCGTGTGCCAGGCAGTGTCAGTGTTGCTCATTACAACCCTGCTCTGCTGGAGTTGTGAGATAACTGGGTGATGCTGTTTGTCATGTTGACTCAACACTTCCAGGTCCTAATGGCTGGCAGCTGCTTCTGATGCTAAATCTACTGAGCTGCATGGAAGGGACTGGGTCGAGGTTCATCTTCAGTAAGTGGCGTTCACCACACGCTCAAAGCTGCAAACCTGTGGTTGTGATTGTGCACATTTAGACCCAGGGAACACCAGCCAACAACTCTGGCTCGTCTGAATGCGACTTGGCTCTGAGGCTGGCTTCCTCAATCATTGTTTTGAACATGGTTCCAAGAGGGAGAATAGGAAGTGAGGCCTCTATCATTGGCAGCAGTTGCAGAAGTAGGCGATTGTGTGGCATCGCTGTCAAAATGGGTGAGCGGTGGCGCATCGGTTAGCAAGCCTCCCTAAGAACCCAGCGTCATGAGTACAATGCTCATGGCCATCAACACCAGTGACGATTATCTGAACCGGTCTTGGGCCTCTGCTTGGTCGTCTTGGCCTCGGTTGAGTACCTTATACAGTGTGTAAACATTGCCCCTCGGGAGACAGGTGGCCTGGCATGGTGCTGGCCACCCACCAACTCACATGTCGGCTCTCATAGGTGCTCGCTCACAGCACTTTCCCCAACGGTCTCTTGAGGCTATATGGGAAGTCTTTGTCTAAATACAACGTTTTGAAGATATTCCCAACCGAATATATTATTTTTGTAAGCAGGGTTGATGAGCACACTTGCTGAGAACAGTCCCAAAAGTCTAAAATGTCAAGTTACTGACAACGGCAGCATAAGAGTTTATATCGGAGGTCCACTTCCGATTAGCACGGTTGGCTACGTACAGTTTCAAAGAAGTTCAACATACATTGTAATCGATACTGGTCACCAGCTTGAAGTGAGCAAGGTTGTACGCTCTTGGGTAAGGAGACGGGAGTGTATTCCAAAGTCAGACGGTGCGAGGGAAGCAGTAGAAAAAGGCATTGTGGTTGATGGTCTCAATATGATGAGACAACGCAGCCTGGTTGACAGTGCTCAACATGGGTAGAAGTAATGAACGCGTGAAGTTAACGGACCACTAACCATGGCAGTAGCGATAGAAGAGTGATAAGGAAGCAACTGACTTGCTAGTCAGTGAGTGGCTTAAAAGTTACGAAATGCAACATTTTTTATCGTGGCCAGGCACTAGTTTCCTGAAGCACATTGGGTTATGATTAACAATCTCATGCCTTTCTGAGATCACTTTGCTGAAAATCAGAGGCTGTTTCTGAACCCATTACCAGTTCCGATTATGCTAACGTTGCTGTTCTTGTGGCATGGTGCCATGCAGTGTTGCTCATTACTGCTTTGCTGGAGTTGTGATATCACTGGGTGACGATGGTTGTCATGTTGACTCAACACTTACAGGTCCTGGAGATTGCCAGCTTCTCCTGACGCTAAATCTGCAGAGCTGCGTGGACGGGCCTGGGTCGAGGTTCGTCTTCATCCAGTAAGTGGCATTCCCCACACGCTCAAAGCTGCAAACCTGTGATAGTGATTGTGCATGTTAAGACCCAAAGAATTGCAGGCAACTCTTCGGCACGTTGTCTGAATTCGACTTGACTCTGTGAGGCTGGGTTCCTCAATAATTGTCTGTGCTGAACTTGGTTCCAAGAGGGGGTGAATAGAAATTGAGTCCTCTGTCATTGGCAACAGTTGCAGAAGTAGGCGATGGTGTGGCATCGCTGTCAATGTGGGTGAGCGGTGGCGCAGCAGTTTAGGACGCCACCCTAAGAACCCAGCTACCCGAGTACAATTCCTGCTCAAGGCCACCAATACCGGTGAAAAATATTTATACCGGTTCTGGGCTTCCTGTAGGTTGACTCGGCCTAAATTGAGAATTTAACTCTAAACTATTTTAATTTATCAGGTAAGGCACGCTGAGTTATCTCGCTCTTTCTCAGAAGCGACCTGGCCACAAATGAAAGCTCAATAGTGGCTTATCACGTTGACATTTCTAGCAGTCAAATATTCTTAAACGCACGTTTCTAAATATGAAGGGAAAAACTGGAGACCCCGGAGATAAATCCACATGACCATGCCGAGGACATGCAAACTCCAAATACACAACAGTCAGGGTCGGGATGGAACACACTACCTCATGTTTTCAAGGCGGGGTAGTTAACATCTAGCCACCATGGTGCCCATAGCAATAGCCATAGAAGAGGGTTAAGGAAGCGAGTGACTGCTGGTGAGGGAGTGACATAGAAGTTACTAAATGCAACATTTTAAACATATTGGTACCTGGATACAGTAACCATCACAAGGCACAACGTGTTTCCTGAAGGACAGTGGGTTATGATTACTAATCTCATGCCTTTCTGAGATCACTTTGCTGAAAATCAGAGGCTGTTTCTGAACCCATTATAAGTTCTGATTATGCTAACGTCGTTGTTCACGTGGCGTGTGCCAGGCAGTGTTGCTCATTACAGCTCTGCTCTGCTGGAGTTGTGAGATAACTGGGTGATGCTGTTTGTCATGTTGACGCAACACTTCCAGGTCCTAATGGCTGGCAGCTGCTTCTGATGCTAAATCTACTGAGCTGCGTGGAAGGGACTGGGTCGAGGTTCATCTTCAGTAAGTGGCGTGTTCACCACACGCTCAAAGCTGCAAACCTGTGGTTGCGATTGTGCACATTTAGACCCAGGGAACACCAGCCAACAACTCTGGCTCGTCTGAATGCGACTTGGCTCTGAGGCTGGATTCCTCAATCATTGTTTTGAACTTGGTTCCAAGAGGGAGAATTGGAAGTGAGGCCTCTATCATTGGCGGCAGTTGCAGAAGTAGGCGATTGTGTGGCATCGCTGTCAATATGGGTGAGCGGTGACGCATCGGTTAGCAAGCCTCCCTAAGAACCCAGCGTCATGAGTACAATGCTCATGGCCATCAACACCAGTGACGATTATCTGAACTGGTCTTGAGCCTCTGCTTGGTCGTCTTGGCCTCGGTTGAGTACCTTATACAGTGTGTAAACATTGCCCCTCGGGAGACAAAGGTGGCCTGGCATGGTGCTGGCCACCCACCTCACATGTCGGCTCTCATAGGTGCTCGCTCACAGCACTTTCCCCAACGGTCTCTTGAGGCTATATGGGAAGTCTTTGTCTAAATACAACCTTTTGAAGATACTCCCAACCGAATACATTTTTGTAAGCAGGTTTGATGAGCACACTTGCTGAGAACAGTCCCAAAAGTCTAAAATGTCAAGTGACTGACAACGGCAGCATAAGAGTTTAAATCGGAGGTGCACTTCCGATTAGCACGGTTGGCTACGTACAGTTTCAAAGAAGTTCAACATACATTGTAATCGATACTGGTCACCAGCTTGAAGTGAGCAAGGTTGTACGCTCTTGGGTAAGGAGACGGGAGTGTATTCCAAAGTCAGACGGTGCGAGGGAAGCAGTAGAAAAAGGCATTGTGGTTGATGGTCTCAATATGATGAGACAACGCAGCCTGGTTGACAGTGCTCAACATGGGTAGAAGTAATGAACGCGTGAAGTTAACGGACCACTAACCATGGCAGTAGCGATAGAAGAGTGATAAGGAAGCAACTGACTTGCTAGTCAGTGAGTGGCTTAAAAGTTACGAAATGCAACATTTTTTATCGTGGCCAGGCACTAGTTTCCTGAAGCACATTGGGTTATGATTAACAATCTCATGCCTTTCTGAGATCACTTTGCTGAAAATCAGAGGCTGTTTCTGAACCCATTACCAGTTCCGATTATGCTAACGTTGCTGTTCTTGTGGCATGGTGCCATGCAGTGTTGCTCATTACTGCTTTGCTGGAGTTGTGATATCACTGGGTGACGATGGTTGTCATGTTGACTCAACACTTACAGGTCCTGGAGATTGCCAGCTTCTCCTGACGCTAAATCTGCAGAGCTGCGTGGACGGGCCTGGGTCGAGGTTCGTCTTCATCCAGTAAGTGGCATTCCCCACACGCTCAAAGCTGCAAACCTGTGATAGTGATTGTGCATGTTAAGACCCAAAGAATTGCAGGCAACTCTTCGGCACGTTGTCTGAATTCGACTTGACTCTGTGAGGCTGGGTTCCTCAATAATTGTCTGTGCTGAACTTGGTTCCAAGAGGGGGTGAATAGAAATTGAGTCCTCTGTCATTGGCAACAGTTGCAGAAGTAGGCGATGGTGTGGCATCGCTGTCAATGTGGGTGAGCGGTGGCGCAGCAGTTTAGGACGCCACCCTAAGAACCCAGCTACCCGAGTACAATTCCTGCTCAAGGCCACCAATACCGGTGAAAAATATTTATACCGGTTCTGGGCTTCCTGTAGGTTGACTCGGCCTAAATTGAGAATTTAACTCTAAACTATTTTAATTTATCAGGTAAGGCACGCTGAGTTATCTCGCTCTTTCTCAGAAGCGACCTGGCCACAAATGAAAGCTCAATAGTGGCTTATCACGTTGACATTTCTAGCAGTCAAATATTCTTAAACGCACGTTTCTAAATATGAAGGGAAAAACTGGAGACCCCGGAGATAAATCCACATGACCATGCCGAGGACATGCAAACTCCAAATACACAACAGTCAGGGTCGGGATGGAACACACTACCTCATGTTTTCAAGGCGGGGTAGTTAACATCTAGCCACCATGGTGCCCATAGCAATAGCCATAGAAGAGGGTTAAGGAAGCGAGTGACTGCTGGTGAGGGAGTGACATAGAAGTTACTAAATGCAACATTTTAAACATATTGGTACCTGGATACAGTAACCATCACAAGGCACAACGTGTTTCCTGAAGGACAGTGGGTTATGATTACTAATCTCATGCCTTTCTGAGATCACTTTGCTGAAAATCAGAGGCTGTTTCTGAACCCATTATAAGTTCTGATTATGCTAACGTCGTTGTTCACGTGGCGTGTGCCAGGCAGTGTTGCTCATTACAGCTCTGCTCTGCTGGAGTTGTGAGATAACTGGGTGATGCTGTTTGTCATGTTGACGCAACACTTCCAGGTCCTAATGGCTGGCAGCTGCTTCTGATGCTAAATCTACTGAGCTGCGTGGAAGGGACTGGGTCGAGGTTCATCTTCAGTAAGTGGCGTGTTCACCACACGCTCAAAGCTGCAAACCTGTGGTTGCGATTGTGCACATTTAGACCCAGGGAACACCAGCCAACAACTCTGGCTCGTCTGAATGCGACTTGGCTCTGAGGCTGGATTCCTCAATCATTGTTTTGAACTTGGTTCCAAGAGGGAGAATTGGAAGTGAGGCCTCTATCATTGGCGGCAGTTGCAGAAGTAGGCGATTGTGTGGCATCGCTGTCAATATGGGTGAGCGGTGACGCATCGGTTAGCAAGCCTCCCTAAGAACCCAGCGTCATGAGTACAATGCTCATGGCCATCAACACCAGTGACGATTATCTGAACTGGTCTTGAGCCTCTGCTTGGTCGTCTTGGCCTCGGTTGAGTACCTTATACAGTGTGTAAACATTGCCCCTCGGGAGACAAAGGTGGCCTGGCATGGTGCTGGCCACCCACCTCACATGTCGGCTCTCATAGGTGCTCGCTCACAGCACTTTCCCCAACGGTCTCTTGAGGCTATATGGGAAGTCTTTGTCTAAATACAACCTTTTGAAGATACTCCCAACCGAATACATTTTTGTAAGCAGGTTTGATGAGCACACTTGCTGAGAACAGTCCCAAAAGTCTAAAATGTCAAGTGACTGACAACGGCAGCATAAGAGTTTAAATCGGAGGTGCACTTCCGATTAGCACGGTTGGCTACGTACAGTTTCAAAGAAGTTCAACATACATTGTAATCGATACTGGTCACCAGCTTGAAGTGAGCAAGGTTGTACGCTCTTGGGTAAGGAGACGGGAGTGTATTCCAAAGTCAGACGGTGCGAGGGAAGCAGTAGAAAAAGGCATTGTGGTTGATGGTCTCAATATGATGAGACAACGCAGCCTGGTTGACAGTGCTCAACATGGGTAGAAGTAATGAACGCGTGAAGTTAACGGACCACTAACCATGGCAGTAGCGATAGAAGAGTGATAAGGAAGCAACTGACTTGCTAGTCAGTGAGTGGCTTAAAAGTTACGAAATGCAACATTTTTTATCGTGGCCAGGCACTAGTTTCCTGAAGCACATTGGGTTATGATTAACAATCTCATGCCTTTCTGAGATCACTTTGCTGAAAATCAGAGGCTGTTTCTGAACCCATTACCAGTTCCGATTATGCTAACGTTGCTGTTCTTGTGGCATGGTGCCATGCAGTGTTGCTCATTACTGCTTTGCTGGAGTTGTGATATCACTGGGTGACGATGGTTGTCATGTTGACTCAACACTTACAGGTCCTGGAGATTGCCAGCTTCTCCTGACGCTAAATCTGCAGAGCTGCGTGGACGGGCCTGGGTCGAGGTTCGTCTTCATCCAGTAAGTGGCATTCCCCACACGCTCAAAGCTGCAAACCTGTGATAGTGATTGTGCATGTTAAGACCCAAAGAATTGCAGGCAACTCTTCGGCACGTTGTCTGAATTCGACTTGACTCTGTGAGGCTGGGTTCCTCAATAATTGTCTGTGCTGAACTTGGTTCCAAGAGGGGGTGAATAGAAATTGAGTCCTCTGTCATTGGCAACAGTTGCAGAAGTAGGCGATGGTGTGGCATCGCTGTCAATGTGGGTGAGCGGTGGCGCAGCAGTTTAGGACGCCACCCTAAGAACCCAGCTACCCGAGTACAATTCCTGCTCAAGGCCACCAATACCGGTGAAAAATATTTATACCGGTTCTGGGCTTCCTGTAGGTTGACTCGGCCTAAATTGAGAATTTAACTCTAAACTATTTTAATTTATCAGGTAAGGCACGCTGAGTTATCTCGCTCTTTCTCAGAAGCGACCTGGCCACAAATGAAAGCTCAATAGTGGCTTATCACGTTGACATTTCTAGCAGTCAAATATTCTTAAACGCACGTTTCTAAATATGAAGGGAAAAACTGGAGACCCCGGAGATAAATCCACATGACCATGCCGAGGACATGCAAACTCCAAATACACAACAGTCAGGGTCGGGATGGAACACACTACCTCATGTTTTCAAGGCGGGGTAGTTAACATCTAGCCACCATGGTGCCCATAGCAATAGCCATAGAAGAGGGTTAAGGAAGCGAGTGACTGCTGGTGAGGGAGTGACATAGAAGTTACTAAATGCAACATTTTAAACATATTGGTACCTGGATACAGTAACCATCACAAGGCACAACGTGTTTCCTGAAGGACAGTGGGTTATGATTACTAATCTCATGCCTTTCTGAGATCACTTTGCTGAAAATCAGAGGCTGTTTCTGAACCCATTATAAGTTCTGATTATGCTAACGTCGTTGTTCACGTGGCGTGTGCCAGGCAGTGTTGCTCATTACAGCTCTGCTCTGCTGGAGTTGTGAGATAACTGGGTGATGCTGTTTGTCATGTTGACGCAACACTTCCAGGTCCTAATGGCTGGCAGCTGCTTCTGATGCTAAATCTACTGAGCTGCGTGGAAGGGACTGGGTCGAGGTTCATCTTCAGTAAGTGGCGTGTTCACCACACGCTCAAAGCTGCAAACCTGTGGTTGCGATTGTGCACATTTAGACCCAGGGAACACCAGCCAACAACTCTGGCTCGTCTGAATGCGACTTGGCTCTGAGGCTGGATTCCTCAATCATTGTTTTGAACTTGGTTCCAAGAGGGAGAATTGGAAGTGAGGCCTCTATCATTGGCGGCAGTTGCAGAAGTAGGCGATTGTGTGGCATCGCTGTCAATATGGGTGAGCGGTGACGCATCGGTTAGCAAGCCTCCCTAAGAACCCAGCGTCATGAGTACAATGCTCATGGCCATCAACACCAGTGACGATTATCTGAACTGGTCTTGAGCCTCTGCTTGGTCGTCTTGGCCTCGGTTGAGTACCTTATACAGTGTGTAAACATTGCCCCTCGGGAGACAAAGGTGGCCTGGCATGGTGCTGGCCACCCACCTCACATGTCGGCTCTCATAGGTGCTCGCTCACAGCACTTTCCCCAACGGTCTCTTGAGGCTATATGGGAAGTCTTTGTCTAAATACAACCTTTTGAAGATACTCCCAACCGAATACATTTTTGTAAGCAGGTTTGATGAGCACACTTGCTGAGAACAGTCCCAAAAGTCTAAAATGTCAAGTGACTGACAACGGCAGCATAAGAGTTTAAATCGGAGGTGCACTTCCGATTAGCACGGTTGGCTACGTACAGTTTCAAAGAAGTTCAACATACATTGTAATCGATACTGGTCACCAGCTTGAAGTGAGCAAGGTTTTACGCTCTTGGGAAAGGAGACGGGAGTGTATTCCAAAGTCAGACGGTGCGAGGAAAGCAGAAAAAGGCATTGTGGTTGGTCTCAATATGATGAGACAACGCAGCCTGGTTGACAGTGCTCAACATGGGTAGAAGTAATAAACGCGTGAAGTTCACGGACCACTAACCATGGCAGTAGCGATAGAAGAGTGATAAGGAAGCAACTGACTTGCTAGTCAGTGAGTGGCTTAAAAGTTACGAAATGCAACATTTTATATCGTGGCCAGGCACTCGTTTCCTGAAGCACATTGGGTTATGATTAACAATCTCATTCCTTTCTGAGATCACTTTGCTGAAAATCAGAGGCTGTTTCTGAACCCATTACCAGTTCCGATTATGCTAACGTTGCTGTTCTTGTGGCATGGTGCCATGCAGTGTTGCTCATGACTGCTCTGCTGGAGTTGTGATATCACTGGGTGACGATGGTTGTCATGTTGACTCAACACTTACAGGTCCTGGAGGTTGCCAGCTTTTCCTGACGCTAAATCTGCAGAGCTGCGTGGACGGGCCTGGGTTGAGGTTCGTCTTCATCCAGTAAGTGGCATTCCCCACACGCTCAAAGCTGCAAACCTGTGGTAGCGATTGTGCACGTTTAGACCCAAAGAATAGCAGGCAACAACTCTTTGGCACGTTGTCTGAATTCGACTTGGTTCTGTGAGGCTGGGTTCCTCAATAATTGTCCGTGTTGAACTTGGTTCCAAGAGGGGGTGAATAGGAATTGTCTTCTTTCATTGGCAGCAGTTGCAGAAGGAGGTGATTGTGTGGCATCGCTGTCAATGTGGGTGAGCGGTGGCGCAGCAGTTATCACGCCGCCATAAGAACCCAGTTACCCGAGAACAATTCCTGCTCACGGCCACCAATACCGGTGAAGATTATTTGTACTGGTTCTGGGCTTCCTGTAGGTTAACTCGGCCTCAATTGAGAATTAAACTCTAAACTTTTAATTTTATCAGGTAAGGCACGCTGAGCTATCTCGCTCTTTCTTAGAAGCGACCTGGCCACAAATGATAGCTCAATAGTGGATTATCACGTTGACATTTCTAGCAGTCAAATACTCTTAAACACAACTTGTTACCTGATGCGCAGTGGGTTATGATTACCAATCTCATGCCTTTCTGAGATCACTTTGCTGAAAATCAGAGGCTGTTTCTGAACCCATTGTAATTCTGATTATGCTAATGTCGTTGTTCATGTGGCATTGTCCCAGGCAGTGTTGCTCATTACAGCCCTGCTCTGCTGGAGTTGTGAGATCACTGGGTGATGCTGTTTCTCATGTTGACTCAACACTTCCAGGTCCTGATGGTTGGCAGCTGTTTATGACACTACATCTGCAGAGCTGCGTGAACGGGACTGGGTCGAGGTTCGTCTTTGTCCAGTAAGTGGCATTCACCACACCTCAAAGCTGCAAACAAGGCTGTATCTTTTCACGTTATTGGTGTATTAAGGAGACTTAACTCTGATTGTTGTGTGGGTAGGTCATGGTTTTACGGTATTTGAATTAAAGCCTCTTTCTTTCGTGATGGATGAACTGCAGTTACATGCAGACTGCACTGAGAACTCGGACCACAAATGTCACCATCAGTCTCTTGATCTTATTCATATCAAGGAGGGTTTTAGGGATAGTATTTTGTGACTCACTTTACAGCCCTTTCATGAAATTCAAGCCATTTTCTGCTTTTATTGCTGCATCACCATCAGACCTCGTTGTTATCTTTGGTGATAATGGTTCTCAAGGTCCGTAGATGCAGCATTCTCTTAATATGGCAGTTGTCTTTTTGCAAACACCAAAACCTTGCTTGTCACGTTTGATTTGACCAGTCACAACATGTATTGAGGTACAGTTGACGATTGTTCCTCTGTGGCTCAACAATTCGCTTGCGATGATTCTGTCATGGAAGAACACATGCACCATCTGCTCTCCAAAGTGGTGTTTCCTGCTTCCATTGAAGAGGCAGTGAGGTTTAGTCCGAACTGTTTTAATTTTCATCTGGGTTGCTGGGCTCCTGTCCTATGATTATATGCATTTGCTGTTCACATTATGACCCACAATGATTCAGCGCTTTGGATGAGGACAGGAGTTTCAGAAGGGTATGTCACAAGCAAATATAACAAGTGCAGGAAGCTTGGAGATTGAGCTTGGTGGGTACTTGAAGCATAGCAACAGTGTTCTGTCGGCAGGGAAGTCCATCAGTAAAGGGGACTTTATGTGTGCCGGGTAGCTTACGAGTAGCGGTATATGAGCTGCATTTGATGGTAATGCCTAGCTGGGATTGTTTTGTTGTGAATTGACACTTTTGCAGTTTAGAAATGCAGCACTAAAAAGTTTAAGCACAGTTTATCCAGTTTGGTGCTATACTGAGATTCGCCATGTGCCTGCATGCCACACTTGTGTATTCCACATAGAGTCTTGCGACCAAGGAAGAGGCAGGAGAAGACACGTGAAGGAAGAATGCATGGGAAAGAACATGGAGGAGAAATAATGTCAATGTTGAACTGTTCAGGTTAAAAGCAAATGTCATGTTACGTAAAGTAAATCCTTGTTTAATGCGTGTTCATACTACGCATTTTCGTTATAACACAGTTCACAAAAAAAACTCAACTGCTTGCAAGCATTCAATTAGGTTGAAAACAAAGGAAAACAATGTTCTTCCAAAAAAACTACTTGCTGGATTGAAAAGAACTTCACAAAAAAATACATTGTCAACGGATTAATTTTCACTTTGAATCAGCAGATGTTTTCAAACACCACCATTCGCATATTCCCCTGCACACATCAACCCTAAAAATGTTCGTGAAAATCATCTTCCCTCCCATTTTTGTCCCATATCTGAACTGGATGTACTGGATAAGCTCGTATCAAGACATCCATGGGAGAAAAATTAACCAACATTTGCACTTGTGACTTATCTATAAACCCCTTGCACTTTTTCAGCCTCTTACCGAAGGTACAGGTCCACTAGTGGAAATCGTCCTTATTTGTCCAGTATGTAAAAATGGCTCCAATGAAAACCCTAATGATTATAGAACGATATCTATTTTACCAGTTACCAAAATATTGGAATAAATATTTAAATCGGTCTGGTTTTCGAGAGGATTACTGCACCACCATAGCCAATTAAGGATGTATGCATTGTTCTCTTCAGTGGTCTGGATAAAGGCCACTACTGTGCACTATTTCTTGTAAAAAGTCTTTGATACTGTTGACCATGATATTCTACTCGCAAAACTTGGTAATTACAATTCCTGAAATAAACTGGTTTAAAAGTTACCTTTGAGACCATTCTCAAAAGGTACAAAGTGATAACATCTCGTCAAATATTAAAATAATTAAGTGTGTTCGACAAGTTCTGTGCTAGGTCCAATTCTGTTATCCTTATTGAAAACATTGGACTAAATTAAAGTCACTCATAATTAAATATCTGTGCTAATTACACGCATGCTCGTATCAGGTAAATCACCAAACAGTCAAACAATCTCCAACATGATTTTGACTTAATTCTATATCAATCATCACAAAAATCGCTTCTAATTCTGTTTTTTGCGGTTGTCCTTCCCTCGCACCTCAGATTATCACTTAGCTATGGTGTGTACAAAAAAAATGCAACATTCAAAGAAATTAAATACCACAAGTATTCATAAATCTTAAGCAAAATAAAGTTAATACCAATGACAATTAGACTTGAAATGCGATTACAATTACGAAACTGATAAAAGCAAATAATTACATCGAAATCAAATCATACAATGGGAAAAGCCAATGAATACAAATTGGCTTTCCAATCGTTACAGGAAAAGCCTGTAAATTGGTGAGTTTTAAGACGTAATTTAAAAGTGAAACTCAATCCCTAATGGACCGAGAAAAGGGATTCCATAATTGCAGAGCCTGGTTGCAGAAGGCTCTTGCTCGTAGAACAGTCTTTAGAACGATTAGTAGACCAGAATTATCAGATCTTAGTTTTCAAAGTGGTATATAAAACTTGAGCAGATAAATAAGATTGAGGAGCTAACCTATAGAAGGCGATTAAATACCAGAACTATTCTGTACTTTAAAGGAAACCATATGGTCATGATTTACGTCTTGTTAAAACCCGGCCAGCTGAGTTTTGAATATATTGTAATTAATTGAAAACACTTCTAGAAACGCTGGCAAGCAGGGCATTACAAGAAGCCAACAAATAAAGGCATGCACCAGCCTTTCGGCATCCGGAAGGGATGGCATAAGTCTTAGAGTTATGTCGCGTAAATGAAAAAAACTTTTGGTAATATTACATGGGCCTCAGTGAAACTGGCGTCTTAGGATAACCCCCAAGTTTCTGGCCTTAGGACAACCGGATTTAAATGCCCTCTGTAGGCATACTAAAACCATCCAATTCAAGCACTTGATGTGGAGAGTCCAACAACAATCTGTTGCATTACAGTTTAAGAAAGCTTAGGTGCATGCACAACATCAAGATAACATGACAGTATTGTAAAATTTGGTATCAGTCTTAAATGTGACACAAAAACACCACGATGGACAATCCCTAGATCAAGACAGCACAACCCTGTTAGAACCTTAAACCATACACAGCCCCAATAAAACACCTGCCACACCAACAAGTGGATACATTGAAAAAAAATTGATGTCATCCTCTAGTTAGCCTTCTGGAACATGAGTCAGAGTGCCTGGAGAAGATTATTGGAAGAAATCTCAATACCATCCACAGACTTAGATTCCTTTTAACACCGTCCCTGCAGAACTCACAAGACTTGAAACTCAACCGTCTTGCATTGTTCACAAAATGACCCTGGCTTTCACTGCAAAATTTAAGAGGGTAAATTACGTGTTATGGAACTGCAAGAATATAAACGTTATAACCAGTATAAAACCTGTATTATTTCACTTGGTCAAACAGTTAAAAGTACAAGGCAAACTGTCACTTCTAGGGATCCAACAGTTAAATCTATTGAATTCTAGATTTAAAGCTTTCGTGACTGCAAGGATTCATATTCTTAGGTTTTTTTCGGTAAAGTCACGTAGGTAAAATATTAAAATTAATAAAAATCACGACGTTTCGGAGGCAACACAAGCTTCCGTCTTCAGGTGAAACCGTCACAGATATTTTGCTGTGACGGTTTCACCTGAAGATGGAAGCTTGTGTTGCCTCCGAAACGTCGTGATTTTTATTAATTTTAATGTTTTACATACGTGACTTTACCGAAAAAATCTAAGAATATTGAATTAATGTAAACACCAAATTATAATTTGATGTTTACATATGAATTTTCATTACCCATTGACGTTATTGATTTACTCAATTTGTTTTAATAAGTGTGAAGTCCAAGCCATCAAACAGGACATGAACTTTCCATCCATGCACATTCTGGTGGTGTCACTGCAATTTACGCCACGTCCTCTACCGCCTCCGACTGGTTGAAGGATTGGGGTTAGGGTTGCGTTTTGGGTAAGGTTTAGTGGTTAGGAATAGGGTTATGGTTTATTAGGGTTACTTTGAAGGAGTTAGAGTTGGGGATTAGGGCTATATGGTTGAGGTGGCTAACGGATATATGCACAATTCACGTAATGCCCTCTTGTGGACATGCACAATATCACAAGTGTAGTAACGCATGTCGGAGGCAGTCATACTGGAGGCACCTCTGCATTCTTTACTCACAATGGGGACTATACGCACCCTACGTGGGGTGCACACTATTATATATAACATGTACACAGCCGTCTATTATCGGCGGCACTAGGAATCGAAACAGTTGGCAGGCTGTCTAGCTCGTGACGCCCAGTGATGGTGAAGACGGCGGCGCCGACGGTGGTGACGAACCAACAGCACGGCGAGGAGATCCACCTGCAGCAGCAGCCCCGAGCTCTCGCTCAGGGCCCCCTCTTATGCTCCCAGCGTGGCCTTGATCTGCCCCCCTGCTGGAACCTACTCGCAGGTCCCTGGGGCTTCCAGATAGCCCCCTGCATGAGCTTTGCCGAGATGTTTTATCCTTCATAAATACCGCACTGTCGTACCTTGTAGTTGCACTTTGTAGACAGCAGCCAGCGCTATTGCACTAGACAAGGAACAAAATAGCCGAGCAGGTGGGAAAGAGACCTTGACACCGGTAGGATAAGGAGGACGCCACCGTCTCGTTGGCTAAAAAACAACATGGACATCCACTAAATAACCGAACCAACATGGATGCCCTCTAAATTAAACCTTTTCCATTGTAGCACCAACGTTTTGGAACAACGTTATTTTCTCCCTTAGCACCGTAAAGCTTCTTTCAAAACATTCTCAAGCAGAATATTAGTGCTGGACACAACCACAAATGTTATTGGTAACTTTTAATTGTAATGTGCAATTTTATTGAGACAGTGTTGCCTTGATTTGGTCTTGGACTGTTTTTCTGCCTTGACCATGCTTGGGAATTGGTGTACTTATGTAATTTCAACTTACATACTGTATGCTAGAATTAGACACATGGCTTGATACAAGAATAACTTTTCCATGAGTTGTCATCACCTTCAGACGTTGGAATGTGGAATTTACACATTCCATGGCGACCAAGAGGTAAACGACTGCTATTATTGTTTGAAGAGTGACTTGAGTTTGCCTCAAGTCTTTGGGTAGCTATAGCCAATACAACAAAGTGTCTTCATGAAGCATCGAGATGCATCTCATCATTCTCATTGCCAATCAGCCCTTTGTCAATCCACTGTGATATGAAGGCGTCCCCGTGCCATATCGGTCATGTTGGTTCTTTGACTGTACTCCATCACCACGCTGTTCATTTGTTAATGAATACAATTTGTAACGCGCACACATTGAACTTTGTAAGGACATGGAGGGGCCGGCGAGATAATAAAAAAGAAGACATTTATTTAGATTCTGACAAAATGTTGATCTGACGGCAAAGTTCAACGTGAGAGAGGGACTGGAGGTGTGACAGAAAGCAATATTCACCTTGGTCAATGCTGCTGGTGATGAGAGGTGCACAGGACAGATTTATATGTCACTCCCCATTGGTGCAAACCGTGGTCCAGAATCGAACTCAGTAACGGCTGGATTCACAGTGCAGTGCACTAACCGCTGTGTCGTCAGTCCTGCTCAATTGGCAGGTTTGGCCAAGCCCATTTATGAGACTTCCGCTTTATGTGGGAGGAAAAAAGAAGTTGGATAAAATCTCACATTTGGGTCTCGCATACTGATTCATAAACCAACTTGCTCGATTGCAATCGCCTGGCAAGCTTGCAGCCCAACGTGTTTGGGATTTTCACAATGCGTGGCTCCACCAACACTTGCCTGACTGCCCCACCCTCACTGATTTCAAGACCATCGGTGGCGAGACGTTATCTCCGTCGCCTGCTGTGTAGGAGGTGGTAGACCCACACTGACGATACCTGCTGTATATTTGTAGTTTGCATGTTTTCCTCGTGGTCACTTGATTTTATCCGTATCTGTTTTTTTCCTCCCACATTTAGAAACATGCGTGTAGATTATTTGACTATTGCTCTACATTTCTACATGATAAGCCACTTTGTTGAGCTACCGTTTGTGACCAGGTAGCGTCTGAAGAAATAGCTAATAGCCTTTAAGCTGGAAAATAAAATAGTTTAGTTCTTATTTTTGCTCCACGCATTTCCTTTTTTAGGCCCCGCCTTTTGCCATTACGCCACACACCTGACACACGACTCAGGTGCTCTGCCGTTGTGAAAGTGGTTTTAGGTGGGAAACAGTGGGGGGTTGTTGTGTATGTACCCCCTTTTTATTTTTTTTAATATTATTTTTTTTTTTAAGAATTATTCTGCCAACATAGATAATATCGTTTTTTTAATAGACGCGGCCACGTGGGAACGAACACGCCCCCACACTTCCACAGAGGCCCCCACACTTCCACAGATGCGCGCATACCTCATATCAAAGGAGAGAGGACATGAAAGGGGGGGCAATAAGGTAATAAAAAAACTCCCCTAAATTCACACAAGAGGAACAAGGGAGGGGGGGAATTGCAGGCGGGGGGTTGCAGAACCAGGAGACACGGAGGAAGAGATAATTATATTCTTAACAAAGAAACAGCATCGACGACAAAAAGCACAGATGGGTCTTTGAACCATGTTAAATACACAAGTTACCAACTTAACCATAAAGATTAAGCAAACAGTATCCATCCTCACTCCAATTGAAAACCAGACGACAATCTGAACCAGAATCGCGACCCATCATTGTTAATAAATACTGACATTATTTACCTTTAAAGAATATCTACACGGCCGGGCCGAAGCATCAA